TGTAGACTCCCAGAGCACACTTAATCCACTCCAGCCAAAACAGGGCACTTAGTCTATGGGACCAGTCTAGAGTTAACTATAAGTCTCTAAAAAAAACCCAAGATAAAAGCAAAAAAACCCTTAAAATGTGTGTACTGTGGATGTCAGGTCTTCGACACTGAGTGTTCTGCTCTACCAATTCTGTCCTCTTGGTCTTCTGTTAATTTAGAAACCACAGCACACAATGCTGATGTTACATACTTTTGAAGAAGAGAGTATCTTGGAGTTGTGAGAACAGTAGAACCACTTGTCCACGTTTCTTCTTTATCTCTTTGGAAATTGTTTTAGCTTCCTGATCTCCTTACAGAGCAAGAATGTGTGGGCACTATACCATCTTGTGTTATATAACTGGTTACTACTACAGCAGTGAACTTCATCTAGACACATACTTGTAATGTATGTTGACCTTCACAACAAATTAAAATCAGCAGCTTTATTTTTTGTGTAGAGTGAGGATGGGGAAAGCAGAGAGGTTTTCAGATGTATATTAGTTTGTTCTTACACTGATTTTACATTTGTTTCAGAAAAGTTACTCTAGAGTTGCACTCTTTTAAACAATGAGAAAATTGAGGGCCATGTCTTGCTGTCCCCATTTTATTTATGTGCCCCAAAATAACTTGGAGGTTATTCAAATAAATGCACTCCATTCCATTTGCTTGACTGTCTGATGGCTTAATCATGCAAATAAATGTGTGGGTGATATTTATTTGACTGTCCGTCATGTGGTCTCTTTGACTGTATGGTAAAGCATACTTTCTTTTTCCCCAAAGAAAAAAATTAAATTAAATGCAAAAAAAACACCCATGTTGTAATGCTACAGTTGAGATTTTAAACACACAAAAGTCAGAACATTCAGAGTTATGACTCCCTAGAGCTTGTAGCTCATCTGTGTTGTACATGTGGTGTAGATTAAAGCAGTGATTTCCTCTCCTTTCTGTACTCTTTTCTCTTCTGGGTCTTTTCCCCATTTTTCTTTTAGCTCTTTTATACTGTCTTTGCTGGAGCTCCTCTGTGGGATGGGTGATCCTGTAATGGCCCTGGTTGACAGGCACAGGAGCAGATCCCATGCACGTGAGGCTTTGGTACTGCTCACGGTGGCAGGGGAGCATAGCAAGAAGAAGAGGGAACCCAGGGACTGCTTCTGGGGAGCCCAGCAGCCCCTTGTGTGGCACATGTGGGGCTGGTCCTGTCTCCAATTCGTACTCATCTCACGCTAGCTCTTCTGTGATGTCCATATTGCAGCATTTTCCAAATAGCACTTCTGTTTGTTTTTTTTTTTTTTTTTTTTTCACGTATGTGCACTTGTCATGAATCTCTTCCTTGATGTACTCTAGTCATGTTGGTCTGTGTTATAGAGAGGGTAGTAACTTAACAACAAACCCGTAAATCCTCATTCATGGATATTCCATGAATATCGCAGATACTCTGTGAATGAGATAAGCAGACAGTGTGATAATGTTTCTCAAGAGCCAGATGTAGTAGCCTAAGTTGACTGACAATGCTTCTCGGAATTCATGTTGATAAAAATTATCTGAAAATAGTATGTCATTTCTCACAACACTTTTATTTCCTGGGTCTTACCCTTTTTCCTTATTACTTTTTATATTCTGTATTCCTACATAACCTGAATAAAATATTATATACTCTTTTATGTGGTTGCTGTTTCTTTGCTGGCCTTGTAAATACCTTGCAGTGTTTTCTGACTTGGCATAGTAAAACTCCCAAAGTTCTTCAACAGTATAAATTTCTGGAGGCCAATAGGTGTAAATTGGCCTGAAGAAAATGCTAGTTTGTTTACACTCCTCCAGACCAAATCCTGTAATGGAAGAACTCCTCTGTCCAACTGGTTTCTTTTTTACAAGTGCATATCATTACACCAGTCTCTGGATTTTCCAAAGAAAAAAGAGAAGTATTTGAGACTGTCATTATTAGTAGCTAAAAGTTCCTGCTTCTTCAATTCTATAAACTCTGGGATAATTAAACGATTATTCTAAATCCTTTTGAAATAATAATGTTGGTTTAGTTCTTGCGTGTTAAGCACTTATTGTAGTAAAAATAAACACCTTTCTAGTTCAGCTTATACAAGCAGGATATTATTTCAAAGCTCCTCAGGGCAAGGATTGTATTTGTCCTTGTATCTGCAAATTATTTATTGGAAGAGGGGCCTTATCCTCCATACTGCTTCAGCATTAATATTGATGATCTTCATATGGAAAATATTGAATCTGAATATACAGAATTTTGTAAATACCACCAACCTATTGTACAGTCATGACAGCACTTTTCTTTTTCAACTGCTCATATTTCCTGCTGTGGTTCTTCTACATATCATTGTTTAATTGACTAGAGGAGAACAAAGCAGAAAAGCAAGGCTGTAAGTTAATATCTGAAATGCAGTTGCTCTGAAAAATCATTTTCTGTTTTTCTATGAGATGGCTAAAGGATTTATGTCCAGTTATGTTGTGTGTGATGAGTACATGCATTACTGGTTTAAGGAGGAATTCTGTCTTGGGTCTAAATCTTCCCCCTCCTTCATGGACTGCTCTTTGCTATGTGCCAGCCATGGTCACCCATCTTCCCTTGGGAACAGTGTTTCTGGTGCTGTGAGACTGCTGTGCTTGTAAACTCAGAGCTATCATTCAGCTGCCTCTCTCCAGCCAGTCACGGTCAGCTCTGAAGTTGTTGCACCACTTTCTGATGGGTCCAGGTTATTGGGTTCAATTTTGCCTCCTTTCTAAAGAGATCTCTTTCCTCAGACACATAAGAAAAGTTCATCTAGACATTAAGCCTATAATATTTTACTGTGATATTGTGACAGCATTAGTTATAGACTAGCTATAGTTAGCAATACTACTAAAATAGTAACTGTGGAAGTAAACTATCTATAATTAGTACACCGTAGCTGTCTTTACACAGTGGCTTCATGTACCTGTTGTGCTAGGATGCCTTGCATGACAGCATGCTCAGGGACAACCTCATCGTGCCCATGTTGACCCCTCAGACAGTATCTTTGGTGTCTTCCTGATGAACTCTGCCTATTCCTGCAGGTTGATAGCTTTATCCCTTGAAAAACTCTTGTTTACTTGGTACATGGAGCTGAAATCTGAGCAAGGTTGATGAAGTCCAAGAAATAAAAGCAGATGTAAAGGAATTGGTTTGGATATGTGGTTTTACTCAGTGTTGCCAGTTCAGTTTCTATTTTACAACAAGCTTTAACAATGGATAAATGTATTTTTAGAAAAAGAAAATACTTGATAGTACAAAAGAAAGTGTACTCCAAGGTTTAGTGGGAATTATACTACCTTTTCTTCCTTGGTCTGGAGAAAGAAATAAACCAAACTGATTCAGGCCTGGTTTTGATAAAATAAGAGGAGAAATTCAGGGCAGTCACAAAATGGGAGAAAGTAACAGACATTATGAGAAAATATTGGATGGAGCAGCAATCATTGCCAGCATTATACTATAATTGAATGTACTAGGTTATTGGTTTTGTTTTTAATGAAATGCTGTATATAGGTCTGTAAAAGACAGTACCTTTTGTCCTTGCTTAAATATTTACAGATTATATTTGGAAGGTATTATCAGAGTTAAATTAAAAGATCCTACTATTTTGTTTCTCATATGTTTGCATAAACCCTATCAGTTCATATTTAATAAGATTTGCTATCAAGAGAACCACAAACTGTTTAACTTCATAACATCTGCAGCTTTTTCAGGTTTTTAAGACTTACATGTCTGAGTAGATTTATTTAACCGAAATAAGAAATTATGGAAACAATTAAATTTCTTCCATATTTTCGTGTCACTGACAGGCTTCCAGTTCAGTTTTACAATATGGTGTTTCTTTGCATACAGCTAAAATGAGATATTCCACAGCAACAGAAAATTTGCTGTTTTTGTTATCACCACAAGCATATGATATCTGCCATGAACAGTTGGGAAAGTTTCCATTTAAATAAATATTAGGGAAAGAAATATTTCAAAACACTTTTAAACTAAGTCCCAGTAGGTGTATATTGCAAGAGCACACTCCAGTTTAACTCAGGATTATATTGATTTTCATTTTTGTCATTCACTGCGGTAAGCCTCCCTTAGATTATTTGTTTAAATATATTCACATATTTACAAGGAACTGCTTCAGTTATGCACAATGTGCCTGCCATTAAAGGTTACAGTTTGGATTTGTACTTGCTTATGAAAGATAAAAGAAAAAGCAACACGTTCAAGCCTGCAAAGTGTTGTCAAAGATGCATACAAAGGGTTCCCCATTGACTCATTCTTTGTGGACTATTATTATAAATGTAAGGCTCTTCTGTCCCTCAGCAATGATCTGTCTGGCAAGCGAGGTTATTTTCAAAAGCAATAAAAGACATGCATAATAAGAAAAATTACTTGATAGTTCACTGTGTCCTTCCTGCTCCTAATGAAAGATTGCTCAATACAGTGTATTTTGCATTACTTTGCCCAGTCCACTTTTTAATAACTGATGCGATACAATTCTCTATACTTTCCTGATGCAGTCCACTCCTGTGTACATCCAGATTTTACAATTTGTTGTGTGGATTATTTCCGCCCCTCTAAGAGAATTCCTCTCTTCTCTGTTACCTGCTGTTGTATAGCCCTCCACAACTTTTCCCATTGGTAGGGGCTTTGAGTGCTTGTCACTGTCATGACATAAGAAGAATTTACATTCCTGTAATAGCCTAAGATGAACTGGTCCTTCATAGGCTCTGTAGGATCCAGCTGGAACCAGTTAGACTGTTTGGAGCCTCATTTTTGCACCCAGCGCAGATCAACTGGGGAAGGGAGAAAGCCTGTCCCCTTTTTCCCTCTCATTAGCACAGGGTAGCATATTGGAAATGTAACAGACAAAGAATATTTGGAATTTATGCATGAATCCTTCGATATAAGGTAGTAAGTGCTCAATTTCTCCTAAGCAGTTATAAAATGCATGTTCTCCTTTGTTTCACAGCTCATGGTTTGCTACTAACCTGAGGATTCTGGAGGTGACCGAAAGCAGAAGCTGTGAGTGAGATTAGTACCTAAATGTGATACTACTTAAGATCCCCCTGTATATCTCAGTCTAGAATATATACTATAAGGACACAGGTTATTTTGCATCAGTGTGAGTGATCTAGCTAGACAAGTCTTCTCTCTGCAGCGGTGGAGCATGCCAGACTCCAAAAGGAAGTCTAACAACCACAATATTGCTAACTTCTCTTTCCTTAAATCTTTTCTTTTTATGGTTTCTTCTACATTATTGATGAGATCTATGAGATGATCAGAAATATCTGCATGAATTCATTGCTCTCCTTATGAGTTACTGTTCATTAATTGGTATTCATTATTAAGCTGCTTGAGGAAAAAAAAAATAATCTGTAAAATTGTTCAATCAGAAGCTTAATAAATGTCAAAAAATAGGTGTGAAACAGAGGAACTCTTACATCTATTATAGCTTCATGCTATAATATTGTCCTTCTATCTGTCAGCCTCTATGGAAAAAAATGCACTATCCATTATGTCAATCCATCTGGGAGAACTACACTGTCTCAGCTATGGTGAAGAGAGAAAACCAGAAAAGAAAATAGTTTTGATTTTGGGCAACTTGTCAATATTTGTAATACTGGCATGTCATTACTCTGTGTTGTAAATGTGCACATTTCCAGAGTCAGTCAGCTGTCAGAGATGTCATTTACAGCAATAAGGTGTGGAACAGCAAAAATGTGTTCCTGTACACATCTGTGTTGTACACTGCATGGCTGACTTGGACATCCATGGTGGCGTGAATTCCTTATATTTCTCCAGCCATCTTTGTCCGATAGAGCTGGACTGTAAGATAGACTATAAGACTATTGACAATAAAATAATGCCTATGACTAGGCTTTAAGATAGTGCAGTTCAGAGGAGGTAAGTGATTTCAAGACTAGAATAGGAGCCACCATGGGTGGTAAGACTCCAAATCTATCCAATCTATTTATTCATTGTCTTCAACACCATTGACCTCGAATTAATGTGAATGTCCATCTCAGCCTTGTGGGCGGCATGAATATTTAAGGACAGCCAAAGTACAAGGGCAGCTATCTCTCTCATTTTTCACTGGCTTGACTGCTACTGGTTATCCTAAAATAAGTTAAGGTCTGCTCAGTGCTCTGGGACAGTAAGAGGTTACTATTCTCTATGTCTGAGAATGTGCCAGTTTGAGCATTTTTTGGAAGCTGGAGAAACTCAGGTTTGGTCCCTCTATCCCCGCTGTTACACCCGAAAGAACGTGCTCCAGCACTGGGAAACTGCTGGAGTTCTGTCGGGTCGGGTCACTCCCCTTCTTCAGCCTGGAAAAGCGCAGTCACATCCCGCTCGGGAGGGAAACATCTCTGAATTCAAACATACTTGTTCCTACCTGTATGAAATTATCTTTTTTTTATAATGGAGCTTGTTCTAACCCCCTGTGTAATCCTCTGACAGTCCCTCTTTGTGCTGAGGGGGGACGGCAGAGATGAAAGATGGTCTGCTGTAGGCAGAGCTGAAGAAAATTGCCTGTGTAGCTGAAACTAACTGTGGTCTCAGCTCTGGAAATCCTGGTTCAAAACTGCTATCATGACAGTGACTATTGCATATCCTCATGTGAGGAGTTTACCACCATCGAGTGAGGTTGCGGAGGAGCTGCCACAGCCGGTGGGAAGCGCCAGGACCCTCCCTGCAGCCTGAGCAGCAGGAGGGTGAGATGCTGTCGGGGCATTAGGGCTTCTCCAAGCCCTCAGCAGCAAGCGAGATCAGGTTAAAAGAGCTTTATATCCTGTTTTTAGCCTAGAAGATTTTCCTACTAGTTTTCCTCAGAGTTTCTACCAAAAAACAGCAGTTTTGGGTGTTTCTGAAATGCCTCCTTCCAGCCACGGAGCCGCCGTGAGTGGAGCTGTACCTCAGGCTAATCTGTCTGCTCAAGCAATTAAGAGCTGTCATTTTGCTTTGGCACGATGGAGTGGGGTTTTGTAATGAAAGCAGTTCTGATGGTTTCTAAGTTTTCCATCCCTTCTGTCCACAATTAAGATGCGATCAAAATCAAAGCTAATTTAGTAATGTTTAAAATAAGTTGTTCCAAACCCAATTAAGGGGAGTTTTCTATTGATTTTGGTAATTCATATTGTGGAGGAATGCTTTGCCAGCAGCTCAGATCAAAGTGGAAGATAGGAGAATATAAATTTGCTATTTTTCTGGAGTCTTGGAGGAGGCCAGTATGTCAGGCAGAGTATTTGAGCTTCTCGCAGCACACAGTCCCCTCCTGTCTCTTCAAATTAAGCATGCTTTCAGTCAAGCTTGTGTTAGGTTTTCAGGTGTGCCTGGGCTTGGGACTCAAAGCGACAGTGGAAGGGCCAAACCTTAGCATGATAGGTATGTCCTTTGCAAACAGAAAGTGGACTTCCCGTCCTTTTTTAAAACCATCAGGCTGAGTACTCTCTTGAAACAAAAATCAGATGACGTTTCAATCAATATGCATAATTACTAATTAGGAAGACTAATTTATAGAAATATAGTTTGACTGTGGTTCTTAAGCAAATAATCCCTTGTATCAGTACATTTCCCAGACTAATTACCAGATGTGTGAAGGAGTTGTTCTCTTTCTTTATGCAAATTTAACTCATGAACATTTAATGGAGATGAGAAGAAAGATGCAGAAGAGCGGAGAGTTTCTGTCCTCCTACAGACCCAAAGGGGGATGACACTGTAGCAGTAGGAGTCCGAGAAATCTGTAGTAGTTTTTAAACTATTCAGGAGAAATGAAAGTTTCCAAAAAATTTATTTTTTTGCAGAACAGAAGTTTTGAGTAGGAAAAGTATCATCAGTAGTTGCTTACATATTGAAAGGGACATTTATTATAGAATAACGAGTAATAGATTGAAATTTGTTTAGCACATATAGTACAACTATAGTTACAAAATAAGTTGTTATACATTTGTAAGGCAAATTTACTTTTTTTCAACTGTTATAGCTGACTTCCCTTAGTTATGTTTTAAACTTTCTTCTCCTTCATCTCTATTCCTGTCTGGTATATTTTTTAGCCAATAGGATTTCCAATTCTGTTCAGGGTTCTGAAGTTATCAAGAGTTGCTATTAGAATTAATACATCAATGGCAACATTTTTTAATTTTTTAGAAGACATAAAGAAATTAGAAAAAACTACTAAGAAAATTGTTGGGCTTTTTGCTGATTATTCAACAAATATGACCTGAAGAAACAGAAGTGATGTATTTCTGCAAATGAGGACTTTGTATTTTAGAATGTGATGGACTTCAAAATGAGAGAAGGCTTTCAGTTTGCCAACTGCTTTGAGTTATTCCTATCAATCGATTTACCTAATCCATTAAAATCTCTTCCTTGAATTTAAAGGACTGGAAATTGGATTTAACTTGCTGTGGCAAGCCTCTTCATGTTACTAAAGTAGTGGTCTAGAAGCAAAAATGTTACTTTGGTATGTAGCTCTTCAGGATCCAGATCAGGACAGCATGGCTCATCTCTGCTCAGGAGGGATTCAGACCTGTCTTTTTGATTTTCTTCATAATATAACAGTGAAGTGGGGACTAGAGTCTGCAGTGAAGCCATAGTTCAGCCCTGGATCCTAGCACACACACACCATGGTCTTGTTTTGACAGTTTGTTTTCAAGGATTGAGAGATGGCAGCACAGTGTGTGTATTGCTCTGAAGAAAGCTCTGATGGTCTTACTATCAGGAGTTGGGGGTTTTATGGAATATTTCCTGACCCTAAAAAGTTAACTTTTTCCTTCTTTTTTTTTTTTTCTTTTTTGGGGGGATATTTTTCCCCCAGGTATCTGAAGAAAAAGTGATGATTACAATAAGAGAACTTGCAAGACGTTTTCCATATCTAGGGACAGTGGTGACATACCCATAAATCATGGGTAACCCTAACACAGACAGTCTTAAAGAGGCTTAGTTGTCATACATAGGTAGGACCATTCCCATCATATTTATCTTTCACTCCACAGCTTATAGAAACCAAATTTCTGTCATCAACAATTATTAATCATCCATTTACCCTGCTGAGACATCTAATAAAGCACCAAGTACAGAGTTTGAACACGAGAGAGGAGAGAAAATGTAATCCAAATTTTCAAAAGTAAAGGGAAGAAAAATCTCATGTAACATCTGTGGACCACATGTTCATAAATTACAGTGGGCCTGTGAACATTTCTTCTCTCATCTCTGTGTCACGCAGATTTAATAGTTCATAATTTCACGAAAAACCACATTATTATGCACCATGCTTAAAAGGAGGTGTGATAGCTCTTCAGCAGCACTGCTGCAAGCTGCTCTCCACTGAGGGCAAGCTGGTGGTGGCTTAGCATCTTGCAGTGTTTCAGTCTTTGCATGCAAAGCTGCTTCTCCATGGCAAGACTCAGGGAAGCACCGCTGAACTGCACTTCATGAGCCTGGGCCCAAATGTGATGACCTTTGACTGTCCAAGGAAATGAAAGTTTTGTACTTAGACCACCAAAAATGTTGTTGGAATGTGAGGGCTACCTGAGAAATACAATGTCACACTGAAAACACAGCCTTTCCACCAGCAGTGTGTTATAGAACAGGGGAGTTTTAGCTTGAATTGAAAAAGGAACAGATTAAAAGTTACACAGCACATTTTACAAAATTTTTACCCACCACTAAAGTGCAAGTGTTACTTTAAATATGTGCGTTTCTACCTGCTGAACTGAGACAAGCCAATGGTGTACAAAGGAATACACAGAGAGCCAGCTTTGCTCTTGCCTTTTATTTCTGGTGAAGTTTATCTACCTCTGCATGAAATCTATGTGCATCATTAAATCCCAGGTCTTGGGCTGACTCTGGATGCCCATAAGGAAAATCCAAGTGTTCTGTCTTGTAAATATTTATTCCAAGATGTGGAGAAAAGCAATGATTTAGATGCAGAGCTAGGAACAGAAGAGTGAAGGAGAGAGACAAGTCAGATGAAAGGAAATTGTGCTTTTATATTATCTCCCATTCTTAAAATAACCTTCTTTCCCACCAAAATTATGACATCTTAAAGAAGAGAGAGAGTTTATTAACATACATATCCCACATAGTTACAGTTAATAATACAAAAATTAAAAAAAAAAAGAAAAAAAAGAAGCCATAGATTCCAATATATAAGAAGAAAAAGCAAAATCTTCAGGAAACACACTTGCAATAAACAAATTGGAGACTACAAGCATTCCAGTGCTAAACACTGTCAACATTTAGACTCCTTACAGCCTAAAACATTTAAATTTAACTTTAGTTGTAATATACAACTTCAGAATCTTGTTCAAGAAAAATACAGCTTCCAGCATGAGAAATTTCCATTGTTTCTCTTTTTCTACAGATTATAGTTCTGATTTAGGGAATGGTATAAAAGATGTAAGGGGCTGCAAACCCAATTTAAAGCATTTCAGATTGTTATCCTAAAGAAGAGCGCACAGACACTGTCTTCCTCTGCTTAAGTCTTCATTTAACAAAGTGCTTAAGTACAACCTTATAGATTGATTTAAGTAGAAGTTCTGTCAAATTTGGTAGGAAATGTTGTTGCAGTTATCAAATCCTGGCAAGGGATTGATTTCTAAGTAATCAAATTACTTTGTTAAATGAAAGCCTCATATTTCTCTTCTGAACTCTTGAGACAGCTACTGAATTTTGCAAAAGGCCATTAAATGCAGCACAGAGCAGGCAGTGCTTGGCCGGCAGGAAAGCTGACTTTCCCCGGCTGACTTCTCCAAAGGAGGTCTGATCCTGCCAGGGAATTTAACTGGGTTCTGCACGCAACAAACTATCAAAGCAAGCAAAACCCATGGACATATGTTAGGGCCACCAGCTGATGGGCTAACGCCCCCAAACCAGGTAAAAATAAGAGTCAGACATTGGAACCAGCTTGTTGCCTTTGCCTGCAGCTGCACAGTGGAATAATTCCAGTGACTCCAAGCACAGGCACATAATTAATTTTTGCATAGGTATTAAGAAAAATTGTGAAGCCAGAATGCCTTAGCAGCTCAAATTTCAGGTTTAAATATTATTATAACTACCAGAACAAATAATAGCATTTTTGATTCATCTTTGTATTTTTCAAAGATAGAAAAGACAGTGGCCATGTTTCCATAATGAGCAAAATGAGACTGTAGCGTTCCTGTTTTCATAGCAGGAGCAGTTTTCATTCCTCTCCCTTTTCCCTGTACTGTTGATGGGTGCACTGGGATGCTGTTGTCTTGGAGACCTTCTGTCTCCTCATCCTCTGAAGGCTCGATTCCAGTAGATGTCCTGTGAGTCTGCAAACATAAAGCAATTTTTTTATGCTGGGAAAATGGAGAGTAGAAATCAGCTCTGCAGTGAGCATGAAGGACTTCTGACTCATACCTAATTTAATCTAATCTAAATCTTATTGAGTTTAGGAGAATCCTACTGGGTTCCTTTTGGCTTTACTTCAGGATGATGGTTTGGAAAGTGAAGTTACATTGCATCCATAAGCACTTCATATATTTTCGGTTTTCATTCGTTTTCATTGAATCCTTTGTTTATCAACTTGGGGTGATATGTTCCTAAAACAGTGAACCACTTATCTTCATTGAAATTATTCTTTCAGATTTGAAATGTAAGACATTTCAGGAAATTTGTTTAAAAATAGCATTACTGCTAAGTAGAAACATTTCCCAAGGAAAAAAAAAATTCTCTGAAAACTTTGCAAAACTTTAATTAAAATTGGATCATGGTATGAACGGACAACTAGAAAATGCAATCTGCAAAATTCATTGCAAAATTCAGTTTATTTCTTTTTGTTATTTAATTCCAGAGGATACTTTAAGTTGTCAAACAGGAGATGAACATACTTTTCCTCATGAGGAGACTGCTTGCCATAGTCAATACCCATGACTACAGACAGCAGTTGCAAAGGAGGCTCAGAGAATGTGGAAGCTCCTGGTATAGATACATTATTTTCTCAGGGAGGGAAAGCAGAGTGTACAGGAGCAGACCGATAGGATAGGAACTGTGTCTTCAGGGAACTGATTTCAAATAGGAAACAGAAACTCATTGATACAAGCACACCGGAGATAGAGTGGAAAAATATATGTGTTCCTGGATGTAGCTTTGTTCCCACTTTAACTCTGGGTGTGAGAAGAAATTTGGTTTTTGCTTGGTTTTCGCAGTCTGTGACTGACTGCAGCCCAGACAGTTCCTGCTGCTGCTGGACAACCCAGCCTGCTTGTCAGCATCGTGAGAAGGATGTGACCAGAACGGATTTACCCCAGGGGAGACAATATGTATGGGGAAAACCAGCAGCAGCTCAGCTGCGTTTGTGCTTTTGTTGGTAGGGAAGTGTGACGATGCATCTTGCGTGGGTAATACGGCTGAAGGTACTTTCCGTGGAAAATCATGAGCAGAGCCTGTGTGAAGAATGTACCCATTGTAACTGTGTGAGCTGCCTATACAACAGAGTTCTGAATGTCATTTCAAATATTGCCTGCATTATAACTTCAGAGAGATTCATACCTATTGCTCTTCATGTCTCACAAGGTGGCTTTTGCTGAAAAGAATTTTGAAGGGCTTTGTGGGCTGCAGCTGCCTAGCCCAGCAAGGAGAACATGTCATCTCCTGGATTGTAATGTGCTGGGAAGACAGTGTGGGACATTAAAAGATTACAGATGTAATCACAAGTGGCCAGGTAAAAAAAAAAAAAAAAATAGGATGAGAGAAGCATTTAATCCACTCCTTTAAAAACATAAAATGTTTCTCTGCAGCCATGGAAATGAAAATGAAGATCAGATTAATACCTGAACCCTAGCATCCTAAGTTAAGACGCATAAAGAAATCAATATTTCATTGCACCTCTGTAAAATGAGACAGGGAGATGAGTGATTGGCATTGAGGTCTTGGATCCTCACTGGGGCAGAAACCAAAGATCCATTGAATGAAATTTAGACATTTAATTTTCCAGCACTGGAAACCAACATTTTGGCATCTCAATGGAATTTTGAGTTTGTCATTGTACCCTAAACAGGTAAAAGGTGTTTCCAATAAAAAATATAACAAAAGGTATCAACATTTATTTTTCTCTCACAAATCCCAGAAATTCCAGATTGTAAGGTTTAGGAAAACAGTTGTATTAAGTTGAGATATTTCCCTCAGCTTGATCTTATATTTTTCATTTTTATATAATTTATAATTTTATACTATTTTCCAGGAAGTAGAAGTGAATAACATCAATTTACAGGAATTCATATTTCCAGATAAATGGCAAAAGAGAAATGGATGTTTGTATTTCCTAATTCTGGGATTAATAGTTAAACTTATTTTCTGATTACTCCCTACAGAAGTGAGTAGAACTTTTTCATAAAATATTTTTTATGAAAATGTTGCTTTGGATCATATTGAAACATTTTCTTTAAATTTTATTTTGATGAGAAGTATATTGAAGTTATAGTAAAATTTAAAGTAAATTTTAAAAATAATTTTTGAATTATATTATATTAATTTTCATTTTTCTATAATTTTTACCTTTTCTTTATTCAGGTATAGTATTGGTAATGTATATTATGCACATGCAATATCCATGTGTCCAGCTGTTCCATTATCAAACACAAGGTCTTTTGGCCTAGGAAGGAAATAAAAGATGTTTCAGTGAAAGTTGTATGTGAGTTTAATGACAATATCTTTTAAGGATTCTGAAAACGTGAAGTAACTCTTCTGCTTTTAACAAGGCCTAATAAAATAATGTAAAATAGAATGCCAAAAATGTCACAAAATACCATCCTGAAACTGCCTAAATGACATTTTTCTAGCATGAAAACAATTGATTTTGCAATATTGGGTTTTGGATTTTTTGTCCAATTGAGTTTTTCCCAGATATGCAACTTTTAATGAAACAGCATTTAGCTGTGCATGGGTTTTAATAGACAGACTTAGTTTTGAAATTCTAAATAGAAATTGAAAAAAAAATCACTTTTTCCTCAATCTTTTTAGGTAGTTAAGAAAATCTTAGTTTATGTCGACCTCCTGTGAATTAACTGCTTGATCTTCCCACCAAAGCAAAATGGCACTACCAAATTTGACAGTGCTGCAGATCCAGTGAGGATTTGGGTTTCAGGAGAATCGCCATGGGGCGCTGGGCTGCTTGGCCTGGCAGGACTCTGCACGCAACAGTAGGACAAATGCATTTTCCCAGAACATAAAACCTTTACCTGGGAAAGCTAAAACACCCAAAGAAAACAAAACTGAGATTTTGAAGATGTTTCACCTAGGACTTTAGTTCGTCCTGCATTTTTTTACTTTTTTTTTTAGATCTTCCATTGATTTTAACAAAATGCATTTTATATCATATAAACATATCTACCTGTGGGTTTCAGCAGTGTCTCAATTAATGTAATTATGTGTTTTTGAGAGCTCTATGTGATTGGGGTGTGTGAAGAGGGCTCAAGGGTAATGACAGAGGTGCCTGGAGTCTAGAATCTTGCAATTCAGCGACCGTGTGTTAAATACAGTAATGGAAGAAAATTAAACCGATTCACACATAGGTCATGTGCCGTGTTAGTTTCGAATGTTTGTGTCCATGCTTGCCAGGTAGTGCTTTGGGAGCAGGGCTGTGGAAGGTGCGCAGTAGCAGCAGACACGAGCCAAAGCCTGCAGCCATCAGGTTTTAGCTGGTGCTTTTTGCTGGTGATACATCCCATGCATGGTTGGCTGCTTCCCCTCCCAGGGGTGCTCGCCAAATGGGATGAGTTTCCTCATCTGTATTTTGTGTGCAAGCACATGCTGAAAGTGAGAGGAGGGGTTTGCTGAGACAACAGACGCCTAGATAATTTCTATTCTTGTATCTAACTTTCCTGCAAAATAACAGTGGTGAGTGGTTGTAACTGAAGAAGACCATAATTAGAAACCAACATCATAGAAACAGCAAGGGTGATAGATAAACTCAGTTTTGTATGAGAATGGTTATTTTCAAGTTACTGTCACACGATAGTTTTGCCTTGTAAAAATGCTGTTCATATCAACTCTCTTTTTGTCCGGTTGTCTTTCAGGCCAAGAAAATACTGGAGCTTGCAATGAATGGATTGTTACGTTTATGGACTTGAGAAAAAGGGATACAAATGTAGGTAAAATGATAAAAAAGTTGAGAAGGGGAGTGAGCAAAGACTTGCTTCCAAGCCCTCACCTTGAAGGCACGGGCACGCAGGTCAGAGGAGTGAAAGGAATCCCATGGAGAAGGCAGTCATGGCAAGAGGCTCCCTTGAACCTCTGGATATTCAGCACACGAATCCCTGAAAAGGCCAGGCTTTCCCCAAGAGAATACTTCTATTACTTTTAGCAGCAAATAAAGGAGCTGAAGAACATGGAAATACTTGGTAGAAGACACATGGCTATGGTGCCAGGTACAGAATTCAAGCTGGAAGTTTGTTATGAATTTCCCTTACTTTTTAGGTTTGCCCTGAGGATTAGTTAGCTACTGAACAGAAAATAGGTGTAATAGAAAGAAAAGCAGGAAGAGGCCACACCTAACATCACAAGGTAAGACTTTTTTCTCATTGATATTTAAAGTTGGATCCTCAAATCTTTGTCCCAGACTTTGTTTCTATGGAAAATAAATTTACCGAGGAAAGAAAAATATATGTGACTATATCACGCAGACAAAGCTGTGCATATCTGATGCATAAAAAGGATTCTGGATTTTGAGGTCTACTAAATCAGTTAGGTTTTATTGCAATACGTTTTTTTGGTTCACTTGTTCAGGAAGAGAGCATATATTAAATATGAAGACCATATATATAGGAAAATAATGATTTTATTAGTTGAGAAAGCAAGAAAAATATGTAATGCCCTAGTATTCCTTTACTTTGCTTACCCAGCATTAGTGTAATACATCTTCCTTCTTTAACCAGACTTCTAAATGAATGAAACTCACATTAAATTAATGAGGCCCTTCTGCCAACTTTATAAAGGTGAAGTTATCCAAGAAAGACTAAAAATAATGATAGGTGACTCAGGTGGACAATGAAATTCTAAATCTCAAGTACTAAATTACTACCCCCATTCATGTAAGTTGTACCATAAACAGACTTTTTAATCTTAAAACTAAAATGAACTCAAAACAAATTTGTAGCACTTGATCTGTAGAAAATTTGGAGTCAAGCAAAGGGCTGAGTTAATTGAATAAGTAATATACCCATACCCCTTAATATATAATAGATTAAAGCAAGATATCTTCATATTGATCTGCTGCAAAAATATCATGGTGCCTTACTTACTTTTGTGTAAAGACTAGGATTTTAAACCATCAGCCGACACTATTTTTCTTCACGGAAGGGTTGGGTTGGACTGTGCTCACTTACTATGTGCAGACATTAAACATACAGTTTAAATCCGCTGAAAAGAGCTGTAAAAGCTTTCAGATTTCCCAACTTTCAAAGATTCCCATCTCTCATTAAAGTTGTGCTAAAGCACACTTTTAATGAATAGCCCTGAGTGTCACATCAAGATTTTAATAGAAAAATGGATTAGTAGAAGATTTGGACAAACTTTTCAGTAATTTATATTTTTTACATTTAACGTTTAATGTAAAGTTGATGTTGAACAGCAGTTCCATACCTTACTGCCTGTATGCTTTCAGTTGCATCTTGCTTCCTGCTGTAGTGTATCTACCTGGCACTAAACCGTGGAGCTACCAGAGGCTGTGTAATCTGTTTAGGAGAGGTGCATTGACGGCCGCGGTTTCACCGTTTCCTCAAAAACGCATTTGAAGAGGCTTTCCGTCACTGACACCAACAGAGGCAGGCTTGCCAAGGTCTTTCTCGTGGCTGGAGAAATGACCCAGAGATTTTCCCATGCAGGAATCCGTGGTGGTGTTAGCGGTCGCAATCGCGAATAGAACTTATCTACACACAGCAGATAAGCAGACACTTCTTTATTCCAGCGCTGGGGAACACGGGGGATAACTCCGCCAAAGACGTGTTCATTGATAGGTACAAAGCACAACATATTTATACACTTTTTCAGCAGAGTCATAGTTACATAAGATCAATAATTCCATAACGTTTAAGATGACCTTTATAATGATTGGCTTTTAGTTACCTCACCTTCCCTATATTCCTATTCTGCAGAAATCATTGGTCATCCTCACTAATTGATTTAAATAGAATGGGGGGAGGGCAAGGATTAGCATATTCATGTT